TCTCTAGCTTCCCAAGGTTTGGGTGATTATCATTTGTCCTTCAGCCATGTTTCTACTATATTTCTCTTCAGTTATTGTTCTTTTGTTCCCTATCCCACTTAAATTCCTCTTTTCCACAGGATAAAATCACTTTACCAAAGGGAAACTCACTGCATGCAAGTGCCTGATTTTTGTTTGATGCTGTTATCTTACTCCTATGGTTAGTGATACCAAATTATCAGTTACCACAGATTGTCAGTTTCTAGGCTGTGCTTCATGAAATTGTTATTGATAATTGTACTCCTTTTGCCAGGGTGCCATACTTGTTGTAATCAGTTGTTTACCATTGTATGACAAAACTGTGATAATCTGGGACCATAACCATGTGGATAGTCTAGTACCAAAGGACTGGGTGCTGAGCCAAATAAGTAGCAACTCCTCATCCTTAACAAAGTGGGGAGATAGGATCTTGGGACAGACACAAAGGCCAGCAGCCAGCTACATACACCAAGAAGACATCTCAGAGGAATAGACATTTCCTAGGGAAGCCTTAATACCAGTGATAAAGCTACCTAACATAAGAAAAATACAAAGAACAACACAGAAAACAAATTAAAATAAAAAAATAGAAAATGACAAGATGCAGAAGGAAAATGCAATGCCACACTTCCCCCATTCCTGCACAAATCCAGGGGATAAGGTAGAAGAAATCAGAAGTCATTCACTTGAATATTCTGGAATTGCAGCAGCAGAAATAAAAACTATATACATGAGGCTATAGAGGAAATTGGAACAGAAATAATTTCTTAGGTTAAAAAAAAGAGATGATGACCATAATGAAAAACTTGTTCAGCAAATCTAGAGTAGACATAGACAAAAATAGAGGAGCACAGAAAAATGACAGAAACCATAAATGCCCATCATAGGAAACAAATCAAATCCAAGAAACAGATTCAAACAGATATCCAGAAAATTAAAAATTCCATTGAAAGTTTACAAAACCAAATGAAAGAAAGTGAAGATAGAATATCAGACCTAGAAGACAGGATCCCAGTTGGTGATTATGAAAAGAAAGATCTCTTAAGAATAATAAGGGACCATGAAAAAACAGTGCAACAACTGCAAGATGATGCAAAGAAGAACAACATAAGATTGATCAGAGTCAATGAAAAAGCAGGAATCAGCACAAATGACATAAAAAACCTTCCAAGCATGGGAAAAGAATTTGACATATAGTAAGTGAGGCAGACAGAACTCCAGTTAGTCATGAACAAAGTAAGTGTACAGCAAGATATAGAGTGATCAAGATTCCAGAAATTCAGCACAAGAATAGAATATTAAAAACTGTTAGAGAAAAGAAACAAATCATTTATAAAGGAAAGCCCATCAGAATTACAGCAGATTTCTCAGCACAAATCCTTAAATCAAGGAGAGCTTGGAGTGAAGTATTTCAAGTCCTGAAAAAAAAAAACAACTTCCAATTCACACCGATGTATGCTGCAAAAGTATCCTTCAGAATTAAAGGAGAAATAAAACACTTCTATGACAAAGAACAACTGAAGAAATTCATAACCACCAAACACCCTTTACAAAGTGTTCTGAAAGTTTAATTCTACAACAAACTTAGAGAGGATCTAATGCCATTACTCCTCAAACTCTTTAATGAAATTTAATGGGAAGCAATACTCCAAAGCATTCCTGGAAGCAAGTATTACCCTGATACCAAAACCAGAAAAAGATCCAACCAAGGAAGAACTAGAGGCCAATCTCCCTAATGAACACAGACACAAAATTCCTCAGTAAGATACTGGCAAACAGAACACAGAAAATCATCAATATTATATACCATGACCAAATAGGATTCATCCCAGGGATGCAGGGATGGCTTAACACATGCAAATCAGTAAATGTAAATACACCATGTTAACAGAGCCAGGGACAAAAAAGTATATGATCATCTTAATAAATGCATAAAAAGTTTGACAAAGTCTAACACCTGTTAAAAAAAAACCTCTATAGAAAATTGGAATAGATGGTCTTTATCTCAATCTGATAACAGCCATGTATAACAAATGCTCAGCTCCCATCTTACTAAATGATCATATACTGAAAAGTTTTACTCTAAAATCAGGAACAAGACAAGAATGTCCACTATCACTATTTCTATTCATACAGTTCTGGAAACACTAGCCAGAGCAATTAGACAAGAGAAAGAAATAAAAGGAATAAAGATAGCAAATGAAGAAGTTAAATTATCATTATTTGTAGATGACATGCTACTCTACATAGAACACCCTATAAACTCCACCAAAGGACTTCTAGATTTAATAACTAGATTTAGTTGCATAGCTAGATACGAAGTTGACACTGAGAAATCAATGGCAATCTCGTACACAAATAACAAACTCACTGACAGAGAAATGAGGGAAATCATGCCTTTTATAATTGTGCCTTTATGACAAATAATGAAATACTTAGGAATCAATTTAGTAAAGGAAGTAAAAGATCTCTACATTAAAAACTAAAGTAGTCTGAAAAAAGAAATTGAAGAGGATATCAGAAAAGGGAAGATATACCTTTATCCTGTGTAGGGAAACCAACATAGTAGAAATGGCCATACTTTCAGAATTGTTATACAGATTTAATGCAATTCTAATCAAAATACCATTAGCATACCTCACAGAACCAGAGAAAACACTTCTAAAATTCATTTGGAACCAGAAGAGACCTAGAATAGCAAAAACAATCCTAGACAACAGAGGCAAGGGAAGGGCATTACAATCCCTGACTTGAAATTATACTACAAAGCTATTGTTTTTTTTTTTTTTTTTTTGGTTTTTCTCTGGTACCAGGAACCGAACTCACGACCTTACGCTTGCTAGGCAAGCGCTTTTGCCGCTGAGCTAAATCCCCAGCCCCACTACAAAGCTATTGTGATAAAACAGCATGGCACTGGCAGAAAAACAGATCCAAGGATCAATGGAACAGACTAGAAGATGCAGAAACAAATCCAAACACACTTAGCCACCTAATCTTTGACAAAGGGGCCAAACACATTCACTGGAAGAAAGACAGCCTCCTTAATAAACAGTGATGGAAAAACTGGCTTTCCACATGCCTAAGTCTAAAAGTAGACCCAAGTCTATTGCTGTGCACTAAGCTAAAATCAAAATGGATCAAAGATCTAAATATTAAAACAGAAACACTAAATTTCCTGGAAAGAGAATAGGTAGAACTCTTAAAGACATTAGTGTAGCTACAAATATCATGAACAAAACCCTAATGGCAAAGGAAATACTAAAGGAATCAACAACTGGGCTCTCATCTTATTAAAAAGCTTTTGCACAGCAAAAGAAATCACTAACAGAAGGAGGAAAAATCACTCAAATCACCCAAAGAATAGGGAAAAACCTTAGCAAGTTGTTCTTCAGACAAAGGACAAATATGTAGAACATACAAAATATTGAAAAAAATCAGGCTCCCCAAATTTAAAGACCTAATCCAAAAATGAGCATCTGAATAGACACTTCTCAGACAAAGAAGTAAAAATGGCAAATAAATATATGAAAAAACGTTCAACATAACTGATCATTCAAGGAATGAAAATTAAAACAATGCTGAGATTCCATCTCATTCCAGAAAGAATGGCTGTTATCAAGAAATCAACCAATACCAAATGCTGTGGGGCTGTGAGGAAAATGAACCCTTCTCCACTGTTGGTGGGAGTGCAGACTGCTGCAACCACTGTGGAAACTCTTCAAAAAACTAGACTGGAGGTCTCATTTGAGCCAGCCATTCCCTTTCTTGGTATCTTCTGAAAAGAATTAAAACCATCATAGCACAGTGATATATGCACACCCATATTTATAGCAGCACAGTTTGTAACAGTTAAAGCTTGGAAACAACCCAAATGCCCACCAACCTAGGAATGGATAAAAAAGATGTGTTTTTTTTTTTTTAAATACAATGGAGTACTATTCAGCCATAAAGAAGGATAAACTTGAGACATTTATATCTAAATGGATGGATTTTGAGACCATACTCTTAAGTGAAATAAATCAAGATATACATGTGGAAATATCACACTCTCTCTGGTGTGAGAAACTTAATGTGCAAGTAGGAACCAAAGTGTATAATATATACTGTGAAAGAGGAAGAAATGCTTCCAAAGGCAAAGGGAACTGGGGGTGGGGGAACGCAGAAAAAAGAAAAATATGAGAAAAAAGGATAGAATTGAAACAAAGTTCTGTAAATAAGGAGGGGAAAAAGGTTCAAGGGAGGGGAAAGGAATTTGAACAAAAAGAACTAAGATATATCATATAAAGATACAAGTTCCTTATGATAAATGTGATAATTATATACATCTAAACTATACTAATAAACTTAATTTAAAAATGATAGGGAAAAATTCATGGGAAACATAAACACAAAGTACAATCATAACCTGAAAGTAAAGGAGGACACTTCCTTTACTGAGTAACGTAGGATATAAGATGCTTTCCAGGTAACATACTCAAGGCATTGCTAAAGATTTGGGTTTCTTAAAACATAAAAATTAACCTGAGATATATAAAGAGGAAACAGTATTTATGAAAAGAAGCACGATCCGAACAGACATAGTAACACAATGAATTTTAAGATAACTCTTTTTTTTTTTTTATAGATGTTGAGGATAAAATTCAGAGACAGACACCCTCCCGGTGAGCTACCTATGGCCCCAAGAAGTCATTCTTCAATATTTGTTTCAATTCTTCACAGAATTGTATTAATTTTAATTTGCTTCCATTTTCATTTTCCAGAAACTATATATTATCTTGGCATAAATGTCATAGAAATGATAAAATGTCTCTTGACTACTTAAAAAAACATGTAAACTCAAAGCACTATTTCTATGTTATCGTAAAGGAAATAACAGTAAAAATGAAATTACCTTTCCTTAAAAAAAAGAATACAGTTATTGTAACTTATAAAGCAATTAGTACAATTTCCTTGAAACACAGTCAGCTTTTTTTATTTCTTACCTTCTCAATCTTCTCATCCAGCATCCTGAAGAATTCTTGTTGGCTTTCAGAGATGTGCATGCTGAAAAACAAAGAGTAATTCAGTGTATATTTCAATGCTTTCTTAACCCCTCTCAAATGAAATATGGTGAACCCATAAACCTTGAGGCATTTATTTTTGTGCGGATTTTTCCATTGAAATACTCTAAGATTATATTAGAGTTATATGTCATTACAGTAATCCTGAAGTGTGTTTCATAACAGTCTACCAGTAGCTATGATTTAAGAAATACAATTTCCTTTCAATGTAGAGATGTTATTTATAGTAATGTTAACTAGGAGGTACGTGCCAAATGTTTTCTCCATAACACATTCATAATTTAAAAAGAAATAGAACAAGGGCAAGCAGCACATGGCATATTTCAACCCTGTGTAGCATAGAAAGAAAATTTATCCTGGTTATTACTGAAATGGGTACTTTATAGAGGCTGTCAGCATCAGCGTGATATCCAGCTGATGTATAGGTGTGGGATGAGACCAGCAACTGAGAACCTAGTGATGCCTTGACATTGTCCTCTTCACTTTCTACATTGATGACAGCAAATGTACCTGTTTGGGACTAAAATTCCACTGGAATGTGTGAGCTAGTCAGAGGGCATGTCTGAGTAGCACTAGCCCTATGTGTTTTCTTTTCCTAAGCCACCTAACAGCTTGCTCAGTAAGATGCTGACATGGCTGGCGGGGACAGGACATAGGAAGACCAGGTGAGCAGGGAAAAATCGCAGGTGAGAAGGGCGTGGGCAGTACGGGCCTCAGTGGTAAGATGTCTTTTGTTTCTACTGAGCAAAGAGTTGTGGGTGTTCCACGGGGATTAAGGATGCTGGGTAAGAGACACACACACCATGTTTCTTTCTGTTCCCACTAGTGCTTATTGCTTGTTGTGTCTGGTGTGTATGTGTGTGGGCAGAGTAAGTTCTAGAACAGTTTCTCCCCTTCAGGCTAAGTGTGGGGAGAAGCCTGACTAATGTGCCCCTTAGCACAATGCCTCCTCATACATTAGGGTCATATGAAGTGGCACAAGTGACCCCAACCCCTTCAAGCCTTCCCTGACAGATAGCAGGGCTCAGAGGAAGGTTCTCCCTTGACTTTAAACAAAGGTTTAAAGTCTGTGAGCACACGACATCAGCTGTGTTATAAGGAAAGCAATGCAAATATCTGACACCATTAATCATTTCACAGTTTACAAATTACTTTCACACATCATTTAATTCTGCCATCCTTTATATACCAGTTCAAATAAGGTAAATGTTTTGTTTGGGAAAGGGTGTGTTTCTTACGCAGGTTTGAGAAGAGCAGAAGCCAGGATGAGGATATATTATTAAACAACCTCTGTACAATACTGGTCAATAAAATTATTTTGTATAAGGAGTTTTCCCAGATCCCTCATTGTTTTACTTGCTGAAGCAACAAAACAGCCTTTATTTGAGCCACTCTGGATGCCAACCTTTCTAAATTACATATACTTTTAATAGAGGATCTGCTTCAAACAGTTCTTAATTTTCACTTACTAAGATTCATTCCCTTGTTCTCAAATCCTAATGCTCTCTGCAATACGGTGTTACCCAGAGTCCCTTGCAGGGGTGGAATGGGCTTTCTATTAGCAAAATGGTCTGGAGCCTCAGTGCTCAGCTTGCTCTGAGGTTTTTCTCAGGTCCCTTCTTCTCAGCATGGTGTTAGCCCTCCTTTATCTTTCCTTGCAGCTGCTGCTGCTGCTCCATGCTTGGAAGTGCAGTCAGGTCTGTCTGCTGCGTCTGAAGTTCGTGTAACAGGATCTGAGAGGAGCTGAGGGCTTCCTTATCAGTCAGAACATAAATCTTCTGGCCTCTATGTTAGATGTTCAGGTTCCCCTTGGACATCCTTTCTGTTTTTAGCCAAGTTGTTAAGAAATGAGGTTGTTAGACAACTGTAGGTCCCAGACAGGAAAGGCATTATGATATGCTACCGGGGAGTGAATCCAGGGCCTTGCACATGTTAGCCAAGCACTGTATCTCTGAGCTACATCCCTAGCCCTTTTCATTTTGAGACAGGGTTTCAACTAAGTTGCCCAGGATAGATTTGAACTTGTAGTCCTCCTGCCTCAGCCTACTCAAGTAGCTAGGATTACAGATGTGCACCACTGTACCTAGAAAAATATATGTACAGTATCTTGTTACAGTAACTATATCTCTATATCTCTTTATCTCTATCTATCTATCTGTATGTATATGTAGTTTCCCTAGGAAACTTTAGGAGATCTAACAAAAATGGCATTTTAGGTCTTTGTGTTTATGGTAGAAACTTTCTGGTTGGTGTTTTTAGCATATATTGACTTGCACATAATAGGAAGGCAAGAAATATTTGTAATTAAATGATAAAGTGCTCTCTATGTTCCTGTGATTCATGGGCCCTCACAGAGTCAGCACATGTGCAGCCTCATACTCCTCATCTAACCAGTGAAAGCAGTCTGTGATTGTTACTGACTTCCACTGGCTCTTTTATGTAATGATAGTAATATGAAAATGGAAATGTTTGGCTAGCACTCATACCTATGCACATCAGAGGGACAGGGAGAGATGTCTTCATGCTGCAGTCGTGTCTGCCATCTCTGAGATCACAATGCACTTACTGCAGACTCAGGAGTCTGAATCAGAAGGTGAAAGCTATGGGCCTCAAGATGCAAACTCATGCTATACAAGAACAAAAACTGCAGCAGTTTCAGTTTTGCACTGTCCCACTGATGTGGAAATGCTGCTTACTTTCTCTTTGTCTGAGAGCATTAAGCCATGCCTGTCTGCCTTTGCCTCTGTTGGTAAGTGACCAAGGAGGATCACAGAGAGTGGTTCACTCTCTCGCTATGCTGAGCTACAGCGCACTCACTCTGTCAGGATTAACTGAATGGAGGCAGACTTGCTATTTTCAAAGCCATGCGCCGTAGGCTAGCTCTTTCAGATAAACTCTTCCATCCCTGTGAGAGTGGCAGGCACGGCCAGGGAGGCAAATGCCCACACAGCATCCTAGTTATCTGTGTATCAGGAATGGTGCAATCTGAAAGCACAAGGCCTACTCTGCTGGTCTCTGTAGGCTCATTCCAGAAGTAAGAACAGAAATAAAATATCTCATATCCACTGATTCTTGCTTGGGTAAACACAGATCCCTCTTTTCCCATGAAGAAATCTATCAATAGAGCAGCATTAACGTAAGTATTTACCTTAAAAGTACAAAATGCACTGTGAAGCGCAGTCCCAGAGCAACAACTCAATTTTGAAATTCTTTCTGGAGCACAATTGCTGATTGTGAGTGGGAAAGAGGACAGGAGAAAAAGCTCATAGGCTTCCCCATCTTCCCTCAAGCCAACAGGAAGGGACTATTAAACTGTTTATGACTGAAGTTGATATAGTATGAATAGTTGGTGCTAAGAGTCATTAGACCTAAAAAGCTTTTACAAAGGTTTGTATTGTACTTGATTTAATGAATAAAGTTCACCAATTTCAGTAAGCCCTATTTCTCCCTAATAAGTAAAACTCAACTCCATACTTCTTGTAACTCCAGCTAGTGCTGCAAGGCTCTGTGAGCTCACCCTGCACCATCACAGGTTCCTCCTTCTGGGACCTCTCAGCTTCGTGGGACCAGGGATGACAACACTAGGAATCTTAATCCAAGGAATCAAATTATAGAATGGTGGGTAAAACAGGTTTCAGTATTAAAACATAAAGTGACTTTCGTTTCTAGTGATTTATTTTATTTTATTTTAATTTTTGTCTTTTTGAGACAGGGTCTCGCTATGCAGTTCAGGATGGCGTTGAGCTCACTTTGTAGCCCAGGCTGGTCTCAAACTCACAACTATCCTCCTGCCTCAGCCTCCAGAGTGCTGGGATTACAGGCATGGGCCACCACGCCCTGCTTCTAGCGATTTAAATAGTACAAAAATCCAAGCAATAAAAACCTAAATTACAAATCTAAAAAAGATGACATGAAAATAGGAGGGAGAATATTAGTAGACAAAGGGAGGGGACCAAGGAGGAGAGGATGAAAAGGGGAGTAATAGGAGGGTGGATGTGATCAAAATTATATGTATGCATGCATGAAAACACCACATTTCAATCCAATAGTTTATAAAATTAATAGGCACTAATAAAAATCTATTGTAAAAAGTAGTATGTCATCAGGAAAAAAAAGATGAGCTAGGCAAGGTTCTAATTCCCTAATACTTTACCCAAAATATGCCACTTTGGCACATTCATTATTTTGAGCCAAAGGCACTTGAAAAACAGCAAGGGGCACTCTGATCTCTTTCCTGCCTGAAAGCAGGAAATACAGTTCTCATGTGAAAGATGCCCTCTTTACACTAGGAAAAAAGAAATATTCTTACACTGGAGATGAGGAGCCAAAGCCAAAAGAATCCTCTACAGACCTTGTTAAAGTAACTGTTATCAATTTTTGGTCACCCCCCATATTTCAGGCATTCTTCCACAATTGCTTCTCTTTGTTCAGTCTAGTATATAAGCATTTAGTTTTTGCTGCTTTGTTGGATCTTCATTTTCCTTTTGGGGTTTTATGTACACGTAAAAAGTCTCTGTGCTTTTCTCCTGCTAATTTGTTTTATACAAATTTTATCCTCAGGCCCAGCTGAAAACCTTACGAGGATTGAGGTAAGGTCTTGCCTCTCTTACATCTACAAACGTGAAATTCAATTACCCAGTAGGTTCCTGGTAACCCTGGCCTGACCAGCGTTATTCCTTCATTATCATCACTGTTTTTCAATGGGAGCTCAGGGAAATGGATTGATCTTCATTTCATGACAGATTTCTACTTACTTTTATTTAGTTAATTATGTTGATTTCACAAATAGTATAATAAGCATGCATGAAACCAAAACAAAAGTAAAACTAGAACCTTGACAACCAGCTACAGGGAACTCCAGGTTAGTTCCTGTCCTTGTGTGCTCCCTCTACCCCAGTGTGACCACCGCTTCTTCATTTGTCTTTCCTATAATTCCACTGAGGTTCTATGTGTGATTTGAAACAGCCAATTATCCATAGCAGTTGTTTTTAACTTTATAAGGAGAGCATCATGGTCTATGCATCCATCAGAAATCACTCTTTCTTCTAATATTTATATTGATGGGGCCCATCCAGCACTGTGGATCGTAGAATATTCTATTACACTGTGGAGTAGTATCCTCTCTATTATGTGAATATAGTGCAGTTCATTTATCTGACCTATTAAAGGGCATTTTGGTTTTTTCAAACTATTAAGGCATCCTTACCAAGGGCCAGACAATGTCATAAACACTAGGAATACATTACCACATTTGATTGCAGGACTTGTATGGTAGAATTTTTCATTTCCATTTTTCTTTAAGAAAACTGAAACTCAAAGACTAGGTCACCTGCCTGAGACCACAAAGCTAGTATGTGTAGCAACAAATGAAGGTATGAAGGCTACTGTCTTTATAGGATGGGACTGGCCTTCCACTTGTGGGGCAAATAACCTCCTCCTTTATTTATTTATTCATTCATTCACTCTGAGGGCCTTGAGCATGCTAGGGATGAGCTCTACCACTGAGCTACACACCTCCAGGTCTATCTTATTTTATGTATCTGCATAATAAATGATGGCTTTTTAGAATCACACATGTCAATAGCAGAAAAAGTATAACTCTTCCTTTGACACTCCCCACCCCCAAAATATTTCTTAGTTGAATTCCAGGCACCCAATATTCTTATCCTCATGTTCTCTGTTTAAAACACACACACACACACACACACACACACACACACACACACACGCTACTATGTGAAAACAGTATTTGCTTGTTTCAGTGTAAACACGCGAGCCAATTTAATAAACTCCTCCGTGAGCTTTGCCAGTCTACAAAGCATGCTGCTTCAGGGTGTCAAGGTTAAGTAAAGTGTTCTCTCTAACAGGACAGAGAAATAGTCCATCCAATCTCTCCATGTAAGTCAGATGTAAGGAAGCATTTGAAAATTGCGTATTTCACAGGGCTTGGATGAAAAGGTGATTTGGCTGTGTTACCAGACACTTATTGTCCCCAAAGGCAGGTACAGTGTGCATCAAAGTGATTAGCAGAGAGGCAGGCAAGGAAGGTCACCGTGATAGGACAACAGCGACCTGAGGGTGAAATAATTCATCTTATCATTCCACTGACATTGTAAACCATAAGTGGATTTTAAGGTGTTCAGCTTTTCTTTGCAAGTAAAAATTAAATCACTGGGCCCTTCCCTATCCCTGGAGGTACCCTGACTGCTACGACATGGTGGCCACTGCTGCTGAGATCCACAGACGCTGAGCCAGGTTAAAGGGATTATGGCCTAGATTGTTTTTAAGAACTTTTCTAAGAAGGCCCATAGATAATATAACTTCTGCTTATGATCTTGACTTATGGAGTCCCTACATGCACCTAATAGTGAAATTTATTTTGGGGTTTCCAACGTACCTGTGTCACTGGTATCCCCAGGGAATTTGTTTGAATTTAGGGAGAACACCACAAGAAAGGCAGTTTCTCAAATAACAGAGCCTTTTTTCGTTTCGTGGTACTGAGGCCTGAACCCACAGGCTTCACACTGACTACATTCCTAGCCCTGTTTATTTTGAGACAGGATTTTCCTAAGCTGCCCAGGTGGGACTCAAACTCACAACTCTCCAGCCTCACCATCCCTGTGTTGGGATCACTGGTGTACACCAGCATGGCCAGTTAACAGAGCCTCTTTTAAGAAAGGGGGAGGCCAATTTCATGGTTTCAGAGTGTGCCAGGCATGTGGTGCATGCCTGGAATCCCAGCATTTGGGAGGCTGAGGTAGGAGGATTGCCATGAGTTGAGGGCAGCTTGGACTACATGGCAAGACCCTGTCTCAAAAACACAAACAATGGAATGGTTTCAAAAGTACATTTTATTGCCAATGTAGAGCCAGCTCTAGAACCATCTAGAAAACTACTCATTATTCACTTTAAGTTTTAAGAAATGCATCCACTGTTTTAGTAAGGCATACATGGATGGTTATTTGTTGGTAATGCACAATGTACTTGCTCCATTGAGGAAATGTACTAGACACTCTCTATATACCCTTTGTGTAGTGTAATCTGTTTTTCAAAAGTTTTTCTTTAAAAATCATTAGACGTTTTAAATTATATAACACATAGAAAACATAATTTTACATTACATAACACATAATTACATAACACATAGAAAACATATAATGTTCTTTGTACTTTTTTGAATGACAATGGGAGGCGCACACATATAATCAGCACCCACATTATGAAACTGAGCTCTGTTCCACAGTCTTGCCACGTGTTAGACAGAACATTATACTAAACTCACTGTTTTGAATTTAATGCCTTTTCATGTCTTTGCTTCTCCTTATTTTTTTACCATTTACTGTACTACTTAGTTCTGTCTGCTTTTGAACTTTATCTAAATAGAGCCACATATAGGCACATACTTGAGATTCTCCCATTTGATGTGCATAGTTATGGGCCATGCATTTTCACTGATGTGTAGAATTCCCATGATAGAAACATGCTGCAATTTTGTTGCTCACTATTGTTTTTGATGGACATTTGGTTTTACTTTCCAGGGATCATGTAAATGAGCTCAGAATATGTCTTCTGGCAGAAATGTAACAAGAATTTCTTAAGGGTATATACCCAAGATTGGCACTGTAGGGTAAAGTATGCCTAGGTTCAACTTTACCAGAGTGTGTAAATTGTTTTCCAATGTAATCACATCAGTTTATACTCTTACAAGAAAAGGTTAAGAATATCTATTGATCCATATCCCGGTTGACCTTTTCTTTGTCAGACTTTTAAGGTTTTTCCAACTTGGGAGTATGAATGACATTTTTTCATATGTAACAGTCATTCATTTCCAATTCGCTAAAATGATTGTTCCTGTCTTTAGCCTGTTATTTTATTGGTTCTCTGTCTTTTACTTATTCATTTGTAGAATTACTTTGCATATTCTGGAAACCCATGTATGTGGTCTTCCATTTTGTGGCTTTTTACTACTTTTTAGTATATTTTGATAAACAGAAGTTCTTAATTTTAGTGTAGGCATTTTCATTAATGATTTTCTTTAAGACTTCCATGTTCTGTGCTTGCTCAAAAGCTTTCCTTATTCCACGATCATAAAACTATTTCTCCCCATTTTCTGCTAACTGGCATGCAACTGTCAGCTCTAATGTGTACTGTGGATGTTTTGGGACTCTATCCTCTCTGAGGCCACACTACCACAGTTGCTAAAGCTTTATAATAAGCCTTGCTTACCTGGTAGGCAAAATGGAGCTCCCTCTGGAAACACTTTTAGTTTTAAAAACAACATAAGGAAAATAGGAACTAGAACTTACTTTGCTCTGGATTGATGAACTAATCCAGGAATCTCTTTATTAGTTTTAAGTCTTACATTTGAGCTGGCATTTTTTTCCTGTAAGACACAAGCATATGCGTGGAAAACACAAGATCAGAGTCTGAATTTCAACCATAGCATGAATTTTCATAACAGAAATGTTAGTTGGAGCTGTTTGGGACCCTCTACCATGGCTAGTTCCTTCACAAGGACAGAAGTCTTCACAATGATCTTACACAATCTGCATCACAATATAGGTAGAACCCACAAGGCATTTTAACAGGGAACATTGGGAAAGAGTAATTAGCTTTTTAACATCTATGACAGTTTAGAAAGCAATGGACAGCTAATATGTAATTGTTCAATTATAACACAGAATCAAATAGAAGATTCCTATATCAAAAGAGAAGTAGTATTACATTCAGAGCCACTGTCTACCTGCCCAAGTTAACTAACTTTAGTGATTTTATTTATAAAGTTAATGGCAGACATAAAGTTTGCACAGAACCTACCAGTGACAAGGATGAGAATATGACTAAAAATAACAATTTTCAGCCCTCAAAAACACTGGTATTGATTTAGAATGAATTAATGAAATCAATACTAGCCTGGATTCAAGAAGTGCTTCTCTGGCATTTTCACCTTCCCTGACGACTTATTCCCAGTATGTCAGTCATACGGGAAGGAAATACTCTCATATCTTAAATGCAAAGGCATTAGTAAGCTCACAATCTCAACACTACTGTTCTTATGCTGTTAACAATTTATTCAAAAGGACTTTAAAATTTGGTTGCAAATCTACCCCTAAAATGAAAGGAAACACTATTCTAAGTCTACTTAGAAGGCAACTATTACATACTTCGGGAACTTGAAGTGTGGCTGTAATTAGTGTCTGTGATGAATAAAAACTGCTGTGGGGAAACTCAATATTCTCACCCCATGTGGAGTGAATTGGGAAGACACATAAAACAGACGGTCCCCAAATGGGCTCTTTAAAGCCCATATTTCTCCTAGGACAGCAGAAGCCAGTTAAGCCCGTGAAATTCCAATGACGTATATGCTGCGGTTGTTTGTTATTTACCATGTGTATATCTGCATCACACTAGTACTCTAAAAAAATAAGGTAATAGAAAAAGAAACAATCACAATTCTCTTGTAGTCACTCTTACATTCCTTGCCTCACACTAAAACTAAGAATGTTTCCATGAAGAATTAAGAAGTGTAAAATATGAGCTGCCCCTTCAGCCCACATAGGCAGGTAACAACAGATGAATTATCTTTTCTTTTACAAAACATGTGGAAAAATCAGAAAACTCTAATGGACTCAATCCAGAAGGCAGGGCCAGGTCCTCCTTTACCCCTGAGCTATGATGCTTGGTGTGGTGGGGGCATTCCATGGGAAGTGCTCAGCAAATAGTGGCAGAATGAATAAACCATGCAAACACACAATTAACTACTCTTTAGAGGCCAGAGATGAAAAGAATAGCTCTAATGTAGTCTCTCTGCAGGATGGCAGATAAAGGTTCCTTTCAAGTTGTTCATTTTCTTCCTTATACTCTATGTCCTCTTTGGTTGAACACTGAAAATGGGTGTGTGTGGTATGACAGACAGTTATCCTTTTCTTTGTCCATGTAATCGCCCATATAAACTCTGGGCTTAAATGATAAACCGTAATTTGCAACATTATTGAGGTAGGCAAGTCACTTCTAAATCTAAATACAAGTGACATGCAATAGTAATCTACTTATATTCAAATTCGTTAAACTGTATCCTTCATGATTACATTGGGTCATCAACTCTTCCTTAAAATCTTGTGTAGTTAGAAGAGTCCCTCCTAAACAATAGAGACTCAAAGGATGAACACGAGTGAGAACAAGTATTTTCAGATTTTCCAGTTTAAAAATATATATAATAATAAACTTCCTTTTATGCATTTATATTTATTCATTTTTATAAACTGTCACTCACCAAGACCAATCATAACAACTTACTGAGCACTTACTATGTCAGGTACTATTGTCAGTATTACATATATTAATTCATTTTAATGCCTACAATACCTTCATAAGATGGGTACCAGTGTTCCCATTTTACAGATGAGCAAGCTGAGGCACTGAGAGGTGAAGTACTCACCTGGAATCACATAAGAAATACTCAAAGTGGTAATGCTGGGATTTGAATCCAAGCAGTTTGGCCCCAGAGGCCATGCTATTAGCCACCAAGACCTTTTTACTTCAAATTTTGACCCATTTTATTATACAACATGAAAAAAATCACATTTGTTGAAATTCCCATCCATCTCCTCTGAAAACCTTTTCTTTCAGCAATGGGAATTGACCCTAGGGCCTCCTGCATGCTACCAGTACTCTACCACTGAGTTATTTCCCTAGCCTTTAACAAATTTATGTAGTTTTTACATCCTAGACTGTCAAAAAGACATGCACCTAAGCCACAAGATTTAATAAAAGTAAATCATTTGTACTGCTTCATCAAGGGAATTGTTAAGTGAAAATACAATTTTCTTTTCTACTGTGGGTCCAGGGTGATGGTGAATACAATGACTACTGTATCATTCCCTTTTTCTGTTGCCAGAAGGAAAGACCCAAAGCTGAGTAATTCGGAAAGATGGGTGTCTTTAGATCAGTTTTGGAGGCTCAAGGTCTAAAATCAAGTGTCCCTATCTGTTCAGCTTCTGGTGAGGGCTCCCTTGGCTGCATTACAATATGGTACAGCAATGAAAAGGGAAATTATGCTATGCAGAAGAGGCAAGCATGTGGAGTGGGCTCATGTTCTAACCACTCACTCTGGAGAGAATTAACGGACTTCATGAGATCAGCATTAATCCCTTTGGGGGACAGTGCCTGAGTGACCTAGTTATCTGTTCTCTCTCACCAGGCCACACCACTTAAGGATCCCACCCCCTCTCAAAATTGCTGCATGGAGGGCCAAACCTCCCGGTCAAGAAGCTTTGGGAGGTCATATCTGAACCACAGCGAATACTGCAGAGTCTCACGCCATTACCCTGGGTTAGCCTAAGGTATCTTTAGTCCTATCTACGGTTGCTGTTGCACAGCATAAATGCTAATACAGCAACAAGGCAAACAAATAGGCCTGCAGTGTTACTGGGAAAAGATCTTGAGAATTCCCAAGGGGTCGGTATGCCACACTTTGACCACAGTGCCCCTCCAGTTTCATAGGAAAAAACCCCAGTCAATTATTTAATTATGCTATTTGCCATGCTTTAAAAAAAAATTAACCTTATTGAGGTAAAATTCCTTAGACATTTCTCCATTATAATTGTGTGATGAAATGAGTTTAGGACATGTAAAGAGTTATGTGATCATCACCACAATCCAGGTTGGATACAGTTCTATCGTTCTAAAAAAGTTTCCTTGTCATGATTTGCAGTTAATCCCTGTTCTTATCCAGAGACCCAGGCAACTACAAGTCTGCTCTCTGCCTCTACAAATTTGTATTTTCTGGATTCATATAAATGGAGTCATACAATATGTAGCTTCATACAATATGTTTGGTGTTTTTTCACTTTACATAATATTCATGAGGATCATCCTTGTTGTAGCATTTATCAGTATTTCATTTATTTTAATTGCGAAATAGATTCTAATGTCTGAATAGGTCACATCTTGTTCACCTACCCATCACTTGATGGATGTGTGGATTGGCGCTGTTATAAATAAATGCTGTTAGAAGCATTCACATATAAGCCTTTGTGTCCACATATGTTTTCATTTCTCTGTGGTAGACTCCTAGAGGTGGAACTGTTGGAATATGTAGTAAGTTTATGTTTCACTGTTTGAGATACTGACAAACTGTGTTCTGAAGTGCTGCATAATGCACCATGGTTTCAGGTTCTCCAACATCCCCACCACCAATGCCTAGTACACACTTTTTGATTACTGCCATTCTAGTGGGTAGGTAGTGGGATCTCATTGTGGGTTTTATTTTAAAAACATGAACTTTATTTATTTATTCATTCATTCATTCATTCATTCATTGTCTTTTTTGAGACAGGGTCTCGCTATACAGTTCAGGCTGGCCTTTAGCTCACTTTGTAGCCCAGGCTGGCCTCGAACTTGCAACTATCCTCCTGCCTTGGCTTCCTGAGTGCTGAGATTACAGGTGTGTATCACCATGCCTGGCTAAAAGCATGCATTTTAAAGATTTGTTCTTATTTTTCTGTGTATCCTGCAGAACACCTAGCACCTGGCTACATGTAAGTTTTTATATATTCACTGATGGCTGCGTTTGTATAAATAAGTCAATTTTATATACTGACATATACATGGACATATACATATACTACATATACATATATTACACATATATGGACATATACATGTATTACACACATATTATTATATATATGGACATATACATATATTACATATCCTTATAAACATAATCAATTTCTACTTTGGGATTCCTTTGCTAGGAGAGTTTTTTGAAATTAACAATATTTATTATACTGCATATTGTTATCTTTAAAGTAGTTGCTCAGATTTTAAGATAAGCTCTAACTGATCCTTTCAGTGAACTAACAGAAATTAGGAGAACAATTATCTTAGTGATCTTGTGTATATATATGTATCTTTTCCTGCTTCTTTCCTTTCTCTTTTCTACCATCCCCGTTGTTCTTTCCTTTTGAGTAGTGTCTTTCCCTTTCACAACAATATCTACTGTACCTTTTGGATCTTATTTACTCTTTCAGTATCTTACACAAGGGAGACAATACGATATTTACACATGTGAGTCTGGTTTATTTCACTTATGAGTATTGTCTCTAGTTGCATCCATTTACCCATAAAAGCCTTGAGTTTATCTTTCTTTATAGCTAAATAGTACTCCACTGTATAAAAATACCACATCTTTTTTATCCATTCCTCAGCTGATGGGCATTTGAGTGTTTCCAAGATTTAGCTATTACAAATTGTGCTGCTATAATGGGTGCTGTGGTACTGACAAAAAACCAGACCTGACGGTCAAGGGAACAGATTAGAAGATGCAGACACAACTACAAACACACTCAGCCACCTTATCTTTCACAAAGGGGCCAAACA